GCTTGTGAGCGGACGAAACCCCCTGCCATTCTGAGGTGAAAAAAGAAAAGGTGGCAGGCAGGTCTACAAGCAGGTGGTAGAAGGCAGTCTAGTGTCTCATCCTGAAGGGTCCAGAGCTTCAGCAGTGTCTTTGGCCTTTACTGTGAATTGTAGGCTTCAGAAGTAGTCCTCACGGAGCAAAGTCTGGGCCAATAAAGCCTACTCCAGCCTCATTTTAGTTGCTGGAATGTGTGAGATCAAGTATATCTGGATTTCTGTGATGGCTGCAGTTGTGGATGTTTAGTGTTACTATTACTACTTACCGCATGCATAGTGCGTTGTGCCTATTGATATGGATGAGTTGTGCTAAAGAGGTAAAGCCACGTATTTCAGAAGAATTCACAGCATGTGGTACAGTATTATAAACCAGTTCTGCTCACTCCAAGCATTCAAAGCTTATCATCCAGACAACCCCCAATATTATCAGATTTCCTTAAGAAACAGTGAAATTGTAGCATGAAAAATGTCAGGGTTTTTTATTTGCTTTCTCTTCTCCAACATTAGATTTGTCTCATATTAGTTACACTTTGCATATGATAGACAATTCCTTTTCCTTAAAATGAAAGCTGAGATATATGATATTGGCCTCACAGAAACTTGTGATAAGATTGCAAGAAAACGGGCATCAGTAAAAAATACATTAAGGAAGGAATAAATATAAAGCCTGGTTGTTGCAATTGTTAAGCATCTGGTAGCTGATTGCTTTTCTCACAGTTGGGAAACAGCTGTGAGGACAATTACAGCTACCTGGAGAAGACAGCCACAAGCAGGGACTTTATTTCACAGCTGGCATATATTAGCATGGTGGTCTGTGGGGTTCAGCCTTGTGAGGATATTGGAAGGTGGCTTGCACTGAGGGTAATTTGACAGCTCTGGATGAGGTTGCATTCTTGCCTGGTGTATGCATCATGTAAACAGGACAGTTCTGCGCAAAGCAAACTCTTGAGCGTGCACAGGAAAGAGAGAGTTGGAATTTGGACCCAAATCCAGAATTTGCTCTCTTTTGCTATCCTGATAGCTTTCTGAGAAGCCACAGCAAAACCTCTAAAGTACTCTGCATTGAAAAGCCAGGTGTGTGTTCTGATGTTCCATCCCTGCATACATCTGGGCCCTCATTCTTCGTGGTTTCTTGTGAGCCACCAGGCATCAGTCCTGAAGGCATCAGAGGGAGCTGGGGAAGTTCACTACATCATAGTAAAATTATAGTCTCCAGCATCAGCTCAGCACTCTGCCTCTCTCTGGTGAAGAATTTAAGAAAATAGTTATTTTTGCATCTTGTACTTTGCTACATGATGTTTTCAACAAATGCTTAAATTTCAACAAATGCTGAGTTGAGGTATGAAACCATTCAGAGCACTAATCACTGAATGTGATATGAATATGGATTTATATTTTCTGAGTCTTTTCTTTACAAAAGATGCTATTCCAACCCATGAATTTGAATCTATTTTTTAATTTCCAAGGTAATGGGATAGGTGATTTTTTTTCCCTTTTCTCTTTTTTCCCCCTAGATCTTTAGTGAGATTCCTTGCCAAATCAGACTATGAGTTATATTTATTTAATTGAAATTAATTATACTCTGGGAATCGCTTTATCTGTTGTGTATCTACCCTAAATCTAGCTGTAACTCTATGGTCCATGCCATTAGACAAAGCAAAACAGTTCCTCTGTACTTGCTACTCTGCCATGCTCCTTCATGCATGCACTTTTAGAGTGAAAGGTCTTGATACAGCTCAGTTCAGCCCACTTTGGAAGAGGCATAGTTGCCACCAGGGATGTATTTATAGTGCCTGTATTTCAGCAAGCACTGTAAATTGGTGTAAATCATTGTCATCTCTCTGCCCCCTAACTGCTTGCTTGTCTTGTGATGAACCACCTAAAGGAATCAACCTACCTGATTTTGCTCAGTTTTGTTGGCAAGTTATAGTTTATGTTTTATGTAGAGAAGCCTTGTAGTCATTCATGTGGCACTTGTCACATGTTTGGCTGAGCCACAGAAGCATGCTGGTGGTATGCTGCAGCCTAATCCAGCCCACATGAGGTCCTCAGCACAATGTTAATCAATAAGATGGGAGTTTGGAATGCAAAACCTATGCCTGATCTCTTGAAATGTGAACAATGAGTCTTAAGTTTGTCAGTTTTGCTTGTTCTCCATGCCATGGCAGAACTGGAGACACTGCAGTTTGTATCCACTTAGGCCATACTTCCATAACTAGCACTGCCAGCCTAAGTTGCAACTTCCTCTTCATCCCCTTCCCATTTGGTTCTGCTCCTATGTCATCCCTCATGAGTACTACTGCTTATGCAGCCAGATAAATGAACTGTATAAATAAACTGTTCTTGTTTAGAATAACCCAGGGAGAAAACCAAGTTACAGGTTTCCCGGTTCATGTAGCCCCACATGTGAGAGGTGACACAGGAGCAGGCATGAGCAGACATGGATAAAGAGGGGGGATAGAGACTGCTTAAGCTGGCAGTTGCTTCTAGAAGAAATAGTGGTGAAATTGCAGTTAGTCAGTCCTGATGATTCAACAGAACAAACACAATTCATAGAAGGGGGATTTTCCAGCCATATATCTCCACGGTGTTTGAACCACCAGTCCTACGTGGGGATAAGCATGCTGGGTGATACAGACTCATGCACACAAATGCAGACAGTCTAAATCAGTGCAGGGTGCCTCTATTATTAGTACATGAAAGGAACTGACTATTAGAAAACAGTAGGAATCCCTATTCTGAACCTCAGAGTCGGCAAAATATCTCAAGTTAGGCATCGAAAGCCTCTAAGGAGCTTTGAAATCTTGGCCGAACACAGAGCCTCATTCCAGGCTGTATAATAACATAAAACCTCTGTGAATGGCACTAATTATTTCATGGCTCTTAAATCTTCCTCATGATTTTTAAATAAGGGGTTTTTTTTTGCCTTCTATAGCACAAATCCTATTAATCATGGTATTAGTTATAATACCAGAGAAATGACGATAGGGCTATAACCCTCCAACTGCAAAACCACAGGAAATGTATCCAGAGATTTCAGAGCAGTAAGTGGAAGGATACCCTTCATTCACTCTCTGGGAAACTCAGCCCTGCACTGGCTTTGAACTCTATTAATTGGCCACGTATAGGGGTTTTTTCCCTCCCTCAATAATTCTGGGTTTTTTTCACTCTCCACAAATGAGAAATTCAGCATTTATTTAAATGGACTGAACTCAAGTCTAAGAACTGGTCCCACCTGTCTGACTTTTATCACATTCTAGCTAAAAGCATGGAGGAAAACCTTTACCAGGCAGGAGTGTTTCTGGGTGAAGGGATTAAGAAAGAAAAATCAGAGTTACAGACTTGAGGCTATGAAGTCCTTTCTCACAACTTTCCAAATTTCAGCTTTCTGTACTTTCCCCTTTGAAAACACATGTTTGGAAAACACTGTATGCAGAAGAGTAACTCCCTAGGAGGACAAGGGAAAGGGCAGACATCTCCAGCAAAACCCAATAGGAATGTATAGGTTGACCTTCCTGTCAAGTCAGTAACAGGGTCAGCAATCAAGGAACATACAGAATCCACTAGTGCACATAACTGTCTTAATTCTACCAAACTGCACTAAGGACATGGCTCTGTGTTTCACTTTCCCTCAGCAGAAAAAAGGGCTTAAGAGGCTCCTGAATCTTTCTGCTCTCACTCACTGCTGCCTTTATAAAGCAATTTCACACTTTCCATTATGCCAAAGCAGTCTCTAGGGCTGCACCATAAACTGGATGATACAAAATGTTCCAAGTTAAGGATTTCTGAAAAACCTCAGGGTTTTGCCATTTTCAAGGTAGTTTAAGAGCAGTATTAGAGCTCCTTTGTGAGAATATGGTGTGCTGTATCCTACAGTAAGTAACGGATTTAACAAGAAGGAATAGAATTTGCAGTACCTGCACACCTTTTATGCCTTCTTCAATTTGATGTCACTTTAATTGGCTTTAAATTTTTGATGAGATGACAAACATCAAAGGAAAGTCATTTGATTTACTCCTGTGTCTGTGAGAAAGTTGCCAAGTATAAAATGGGTTACAAAGTCTGCTATGAACTTGGCAGATTGGACCAAATTATTTCTGCTATTCAGGGGACCTATCTTAGGACTTCAAAATTAAGTAGGGAGCTGGAGCAACAGATTCTTTTTCTCTCCCATTTCAGGGTATATTGTACTCACCTCCCAGATCTTCAGCAGCTGTTCATGAGTCCCAGAAGTTCCTTCAAATATTGGCTGCCCCTGGATCATTTCAACAAATATACAGCCTGCACTCCTGCAAGAAAACCGAGGTATTAATTCATTCACATACATGACAGACATTGTATGATTGTTGGGATGGGCAGGGGAGAGATGAAGAGAGGTAATTGTTGGAGTGGAAATTTAGAAATCTTGATTTGTAAATGCAGAAATCCTGACAGAAGCTGTAAATCCTATACATATTGCAGCTCAAGTCTGAAAAGTACCAGTCTGATGTGTAAGTATTGTATACCCATCTCACGTCATCTAGTGACAGTGTGTGCGTGTGTGAAACAAGGCAGGATATGCAGTGTCTGTGTATATATAAATAAATACAGGCTTCAGTGAAGACTGGTACACCTCTACAGTATGGTGGTAGGCAGGATGTAGCATTATTAAAAACCCTACTGATTGTGTGAATTCAGGAAGGTTTCCTTTGGAAAGGGCCATCTTATACATCTCTCAACACTGTTCTAAGCACTTGCAACTGGCCTGTGCTCAAGTTGTCTGTAGTATTGTTGACCTCATCCAAGTTATACAGATTGAAACACTTGAATTAAAAAGCTGGTAAGTCAAATAGCATGGGAGCAGCCAAAGGTATGTCACATTCCCATCCCTCCACGATTAAAGAAAAAAGTAAAGCAGTCAAAGTTCCATACAAGTCTGTTGCCATCTCCTTTTTCTCATCAGCACCATCCACTAACTCCCCCCACACACCCTTCTCCGATAAGACAAGACAGGTAATATCCCTAGAAAATATACCCACTAAGCACTGTTTTTTTTCCAGCACCAAACAGTTTGTTTCAGGTCTCTTTTAATTCATCCTGTTACAAACCCATCCAAAAAGATGGTTGTGGCAGAAGTCTGTGGAATACTAGTTTGTTCGCATGAGAAAAAGATGCAAAATCAGAGTGGTAACAGTAGGAAAGATAAACAGTGAACTATTGCACACTTTACTGGCTTGAAGAACACATTAGAAGCAGAAAGAACCCAGAGGCACTAACCACTAGAATGGTTTTTCCTTCAGAAGAAATTAGCTTTTCACTGGAAAACTGAAGGCAAGATTTAATTGCATAAAGAACTCGGTGACAACAGCAAGTTAAAGTATTCTTAAGTTTATACCATCCCCCACTCTTCACTTCTGCCAGAGCAAACCAGCCAGCTTAAAATAAAACAATAAACCCTGCAAAAAATGCTTAATTATATTAAGGTGAATTAGTCCTACTGGCAATAATGATGAGATAGTTGCAGTCAGGGTAGACTTACCTTTTGCAAGTATTTCCATATCTTATTGTATAGTTTAAAACTCTGCTCATTTACCTTTTAATCTTTTTTTCCCAAACTTTTTCTAGGTTTCCCATCTATTCACTACGCCCCATCTCAACTGCGTTACCCCTTGCACCTTGTTTTTGTACTACTATAGATGCTTTTCCTACCTGGCTGTGGTCACCTGGAAGCCTGACATGCAAGTCATCTCCAGTATTTTGGCCATCCTTGTGCATCAGGTGATACCAAGCCTGTCTGCAGGTCCGTATCTAATGCTGTTTTCACAAACATCTCAGCTGCACTTTCCCTTGGTTTCCTATATCCTAACCTCCTAACCTTGGGTCTTGTGAGCTTGGCTCCTTGCTCATCTAATGCTCTTACACGATCCAGGCATCATGAAACTTAACCCACAGCTTTTGCGACATAGGGATTTTTTTGTGTCTCATAGCACTACCAGATTACTAGATATTATTTTGGAACCCACAGATTGATTCTACTGAGACCAGTGTCATACCAGCCCTCTGGGGTTTTTTCACAGCTGATGTACATGCCCAAATCGCTCACCCTGTTTTGCAACCACAGGGCTGCTGTAATCCACTGATTCTATTGCACAAGTTTAATTGCATGTGGTCAAAGCAATTTAGGTATTCTGGATTTGTAGAGAGAAGAGAATCAGCCTTGTATGGTTTTGGAGCAAATGATCCTGATGTTCCCCACAGTTTGGGTTCTGATATCCTAGCTAGAAATGGTCTTTAGACTGGCAACAGCAGAAACATTATTTTCCTAGATGTAGCTAGCATTTGCTAAGAGTTACTCATGAGCAGAGTCCAAAAACTCAAATCTAATGAAACAGTGTTTTCACTAATAGGCAAGCTGTGAGTTTGAGGAGAGGAACAACTTGCGGGCTCTTACAAATGCACCTTCTGGTAGAGCTCTCTTTTGTATTCCTGGTTTATTCTCGTTATCTCTGGAAGCCTTTAAACCTCTGTGTCTCTAATAAAGACAAAACTATCAGAACAACCACAACTGCTGGAAAGGAAAGGCTTTTTGTTTCCTGTAGCGAGACTCAGCTGACCAGCTGCCTTTAATGCCTGCTTGATACTGCATTGATTCATCAGTGGCAATTGTGACCATTTCTCTCTCTTGTTTGTTTCCAGATGAAATACACTTTTCTTTTTTAAAAAAAGGCCAGAAGTAGCTAGAACAATTGATGTATGGGCACCTCTCCCTTTCCCAAGGTATTTTCATCTGTCTGTTAAAGTAGGACTATAATGACTTGTGCTAGTCACCATATTAGCCTTTCAGTAGAGGCTTCAACTTTTCTTTGGAGATACAGCATTTACTGTTACTGCTCTGACAGCATTATGAGGATCCTGCTGTTAATGAGCATGATTCAGAAACACTTCTAAATATTTCTAAAGATTTAGACATAGTGTTTTGTTTTTCTCCTTTTCCTTCTTACCCCTCTGATACTAATGTCTGAGGTACTCTTATCCCATCCAGTCTGTAAGTTTCTCAAAGGTCCAACGCAGCTGCCTTGGGAAGGGCTAAGGCAAAGGGAGGGGTCTTTCGGGAAGAGGCCTAGACCTGATGTTTCAGCATGTGCCAGACACACACGTGAACCAAGACAGTGACTGTTAAAGTAATAGGAGAGGTGTAACTGGTTATAGGAACAGTTAGTGAGCAAAACCAGAGCTGGTTCAGACAGCACGGTTGCATCTGCCTGCAATCCCTGAGGCAGGTTTGAACACTGCACTTACTCCTCAGCCTGAAGTGCTGTATTACATAGTGGAGAGACAGTTTCATCGGGATTAAGACCTAAGATATCTCTGCAGTATTCCAGAGTTCCCTTTCCACAGTTTTTCTGGCATTGGGAGATTGCAATTACATATTTAACCAGAAATATATCCTTTCTTGTGTTCCTCACCAAGCGTGGTCTGTACAGTAGAGCCTTTAGCCTGTATATCCCTGGTTGGTGTGGTGGGACAATGTGAACCAGGCTGGGGAGAAGGCTGTAGTGGGCTTGCAGATCCACATTAAATGACTGTGCAGGAACTTCTATTGTACATGAATCTACCTGGGAAGATTCCTGTGATTATTGATTTGGTTTTTTTTTTTTTAATGGAAGATCATACAAGGAAAGCCTGACTGAAAAGAAGACAGGATTTAAGGCTCTCATGATGTTAGCAGCTACTAGTGCAGCACATGCATAAAGCACTTGGTGTTTAAAAGAAAACACAAAGAAGTCTTTCTGATATGCAGTGTAATCTCCCTGTAACATTATGAAATGTTAGTCTCCTTGAAATCCTTTAATTGAATATTCTAAAGTCCTGAAGAGATAGTGAGGGAGAAAGAGAGTAAAAAAAGATACAGAGAGATTAAAGCAGCTTTTCTAGTTAGGCCAAGAGCGAGTGAGTCTCCTTCTACATCTCTTTCTTCATCTATTCAAGGCCTCATTCACTTCCCATGTGCCTCCCACTGACAGTATTGCTGCTCAAGCACACTATGCATGAATTGCCATAATATTTTATTTTGTTAAAATTGGTTTCTTTAAACCATGGCTTTAACATCCACGGTCTCATGCCATTACCAAGGGCATTCTGACCTGCCTTTATGTAAATTGTAGCATCCAAAAGACATAGGGCTTTTTTTTTTCCTTTCTTCCCAATAGACAAGTAACATCTGTGTGAATTCACATTATTTCCTAATAGACAAAAATTGAACTTAAATGCAGTGTACATCAGGATAATAAATGACTCTTGTTAGAGGAAGTTACTGAATAGAGCTCACTGAAGTATTCTCTATTCTCTCAGCGTGACATCTTTCTTTAGGGAAAACACTTTGAATGTTGTTATTATAAGGAGGCGTTATATACAATGGTGCCTTTAGTGTGAATGTAGTTCAGTGGGACTGAAAGTACTGTGCTGTTATTGCTGGTCAGAGTACTGGATGGGATCTTTGTATACCGCTCTTACATTGCTATTTGTTACACTAGAGCAGAGTTACATGTTGGTTTTGCACAGGCAGAAATGCCAGGCTTTCTGTACATAGTCAGGGCTTTGGACAGGGGTCAACTTTCAGGAAAAAAACCCCAACAGGCTTACACCAGCATCTGTCTAATACAAACCCTCCAATCTGTGATGCAGGCATGTTCTTTAAACTCTGCAGACACTCCTGAGAGACTGTCTGGAGGGGAGAGGTGACAGGTAGTGGGGAAGAGAAGACAGGACTATTTAGACTGGCTTAGCAGCTGGAAGCCATTAGAATTTAGCAAGGTTTTCCTCCTTGGAGAAATCTTAGAGCAATTAAATTAGCACCAGGCCCAGGGAAGTGAACAAACTAAAAACTCCTGTTTCCCTGAACTGCCCTCTGGACTTAGGCCATCAGAACCTCCAGTAAGCTGCAGGTCTCTGAGGGGAACACAGCCTGAGAGGACCTGGAGCTTTGCTGTTTGTAAGCTTACCCAGCCTTCTTCTCGCACATTCTTAGGCCTGCTCTGCTCCCACCCTTTCCCAGCCTTTGACTCTGCAGAGCAGTTAAGAAAAGTCCCAGTGTGACAGGCACAGATGGAAAATTAACTGGTCTGAAGAAAGGGTGAAGCAGGAATACTATGTACAGATGTAAAATTGCACAGAAAATGGGTGGTCTCCTGCACCTTCATGAGCTTCCTGTTTTCTGTGTGTAAGTCAGGACTATATTGCTGGAAGCAGGCTCAGGCTGGTGCAGAAGTGAGCCAGAAGGTGGATTAACCCTAGGGCCCAGCTAACCACCCAGACCAGCCCAAAAGGACCACTGTGACCCCTGTGAAGTCCTCATCCTCCCCTGTGTTCTGTCTGCTCTCAGAGACCCCTCTCCGTTCAGCTCTGCAAACATGCAGCTTGTTTCCTGTGTTTCCCAGGCTCATTAAGATTTTGGGATACAGCTCGTAAGGTGACAAGGCTTTAACAGAACACAGCCCTTCTCCTGTATGAAATGCAGAGCGCATCTGAGACATGTTCTTAGAGAAGAAGGACAAAGTATCATAGAAATAATGAAAATCTCAGATACCTTTCTATCTCCAGACCCATTCAGAAAGCCTTTAATGTCACTTTTTTTGGTTGTTTTTTTTTCTTTACCAAGGCCAGAGTCATTGCTGGGGCACTTGTGGATCCATTGTTTCTTCGCAAAGCCATTGCTGTAGAGAGCTACCACTGACTGAGCCAACCATATAGAGATACAAACACGAAGTGCATTAAGCAAAGGTGTTTTGTTGCAAAACCTGAAGTTGCTTCATAGATGTTACCAAATTAGATGTGCATAGCTCATAAATATTATCAGATGATGTTTATATAAATCCATGGCTGGGATGTAATGACATCATTCCCAAAAGCTTCTATGAACGCAGCAGTGTAAAACTCTCCGCTGCTCACATGTTTTAACAGGTGTTAATTCCTCTAATTACAACTGCATCAACTGTAACTTGGTTGACTTAATTTAATTCAGATAAAGAGGATTTATCCCAAGGGACCCCAGATTCTTTAAAATTGGTCAGTACCAGATATCTAGATCAGAAGAATAATCTGTAGCTCCAAGTAACACATCAGGAGGACGGTACCAGAGTGCTGCCACTTCAGAGGAGTATGTCTGTCTGGGGATGGACTTGGCACGAGCAAGGCCTGCAAAGACATAGAAGAAGACTGCTCTGTTAGGACAGTCCTGTACAACACATAGATGATAATAATTCAAAACAGGACATTATTTTCTCTTGGATCTTTAAATACAAGCAATCCCAATGCAGTTTACAGAGAAAGTGTGTCTGAAATACACCTCTGGGGCAAATCAGATCAAGCAGTATGTTGTGTTTTACAGAGCTTTACCACTTGTGACTAAAGCAGCCATCCCAAACCAATGCCAAGAGAGCCTTTTGGTTCAGCACATTGCTGTGGACTGTACATGTTACCTTATTTTCTGAACAGAGAGGGGTTGATTCTCAGTTCTCTTGAAACAGTTTTATGTGGCAGTAATTGCTCTGGCTTAAATGAGGTTACTCCCTGCACCTATCAGAATAAATGCAAGAAAGGCTGGACTGACCACAGAAATAGTTTCCTGGGGTTTAGTAAGAGGTTATACTTTTGTGCCTAATTGTCTGCGGATACAGATCTGTATGCATGCTAAAGCTTTGGTCTGAGCAGATATATTAGCAGTATCCAAACTGTGACTCACCGAAGTCTGCTAATTTGAGCTCACCAAGGCAACTGATGAGCAAGTTCTGGGGTTTCAGATCACGGTGAAGAATGTGTTGTTGGTGGATGTAAGCCAGGCCACGCAAAAGCTGGAACATGAAAAGCTAGGAAAAGCCAACAAAAAACTGAAATGATTTGGTGTGACTTTGCATTGATACATTAACTCTGAACTTCAGGAGAACTCCTGGAACAAAGCAGAGACAAAGCAAGTAAGAAACCAGTGAAAATCCCCCATATAAGTCGAGCTGGCTGAGAAGGGAAAACTGCAGTGGGTATGGCTGCCCTGCAGCTTTCTGAGGTTTTCAGAGTGTAGTATTTGGCCAGGAGGGCAGTTATGATGCAGTCCCTAAGTGCGCATTTAGGAAATACAGCTTTTCTTTAGAAATGGACTATTGATTGCAGGAGCAATCTCGGCTTTCGGAACAGGAGATACTCTGATTTCCGTGTTCAGGACAAACACATAGAGCCGAGCACAACGAGGGTTTGAAGAGCTGGGAAGTTTTGCCCACCTGAGCCCACAGGCAGCAGCAGAGGGAGTGCTGCAGCCGCGGCACACACCACCTCTGCCCAGGGTAAGCTGGACCAGGGAACAGACCTACTTGGCAGTGTAAGCTGTTACCTTCAGGCAGGGAGAAAACACAAGGACCTAATTTGAACAGATGTAGCAAATAAGATATGATGAATGAAGCAAGCAAGCAGAAGAACAAGCAAGAAATAAATATGCACCTCCCACTACCATGGCAGTGTCAATAAGCCTGGGGTAAAATAAGACGAGCTGAAACAGTGTATGCAGTTGGACAGCGGACGGAAACAAAACACAGCAAAAGTAATTAGACTTTACTGGAGTAAAGATATTTTGCACCAGAAGTTTAATCTGAAGAGAAGGAAAAACAGTGACACCCATAGGTCATTTTTGTACCAGAAAAGCCTCTGTAATATTCTGCATACTTGCACCATACTCAATAAGATTCACTCAGAGAAAAAACAAACAACATTTGCCAGCAAAAATGAAGCAAGCCAGTTGACCTTCCTAAAGGAGCAGTAAATAATTTGGCAGTTCAATTCCAGATTTCAGACAGGAAAGCAGAGCAGCTGGCTAGTATTTACTCACAGAAATGCCCATGAGTACATGTTACAGCCATGTACCCCATGTGCTTTACAAGTCCGTCTGGTAGCAAAACCCTTGAGATCTGTGCCAAAACTACAACACTGCATCTTGGACATATCTGAGCTTTAAGGATGTTTAAAATCAGAGGCCCCAAGAAACTTCATTAGGATTGGTGTTGCTTAACAACTATCTGGAAACAGATGTGAACAAGGTGGCAACATTTGAAGATGACAGAAGTATTTAGATTAGCTGTGATAAGAAGTGACAGTGAGGAACTTCAGAGAGATCTGACAAAGTCAGATGAATAGGCAGTTTGATGAGATACAAAGTTATTGTTGACAGCTGTAAGATAAATTAACTGAAGCTGCTCAGGAAAAGGACCCAGGCATTCACCGAGGACATCTGCACTGAAACCTCAAGTCAGTGTGCAGTAACAATCCTGGAAGTTAATTGAATGTGAACACGCATACAAAAGAGAGTAGGAGACTATTATAACATCAGTCTATAAAGTAAGGGTATATCTTCAGCTGTGCTCAGGTCCAGGCAACCAATTACAAAAAGCTGTGGTAGAAACAAAAGGGATTTACATGTAAATATGAAGATAGTTCCAGATGAGGAGAGAGATTTGAGAGGTTTTAAGTAGAGATGAATAATGTATTCTAATGGTAAGAGGAAATAAATTTGGGTACAGGCAGATTTCCTTGCCACAAGATGTCATTGTTCACAAAATCTGGATGTCCTTTTGCAGGCTCAGAAAATGTGAGGGGGGACTAACCGAAAAAAGGCTTTGGAGATTGAGAGGGAGGTTGTTAAATCTTTATCAAAGGCAGCTTTTCTCTAAAGTTTCTGTCATCTATGGAACAAATAAATATTAGTAAGCAATTTACAGTGACTATACACAGTGGAAAATAACATTTCCTCATGCTTCAAGGGTTACGAGTCTTCAAAGGAACTCACCATAACATTGCATGAATGAAGTCCTCCAGGATGCTGGCCCATGTACTCTGCTAGGTCTGTGTGCTAAATAGAAGAGGAAAACTTGAGGCAAAGCTGCTTGTGTAAAATGCTTCTACCAATAATGCCTCTTCTGTAAATGGAAAATATATGCAACCACTACAAATACCTCTCTTTCAGAACATCTCGGTGAACATCTGATACAGCACACAAGGATGTGCTTGAGTGCTGGGTCAAATCAGAGACCTGGTTGGCCCGTTATCTCATGCTAGCAGTTTGTAACCTGAAGCTAACAGTTAAGAGGATTCATGCTTGTGCCAGAATTAATCATAAAGCTGCAGGAAGAAGACATAACCTATGTATTTTCCTTATGATTTGGTTGACAGCTATCAGCAAAAGCAACAGAAGTAGCAAGACTCATGCAGAGAACTTTTTTTAGTAGCATCCTGCTCTCCCCATGAGAGCAACCCACAGCTGGGTCATGGTGAGCTACTGGGCTCAGTGCCAAATCTGACCCTAACTGGGATGTGAGCTTGTATCGTTATTTCCTATCCTTACTGTGGCTCAAGAACAGTAGTTTTATTGTGTTGTCAAGGCAGAAACAGAGGTAAATATGTCTGCCACCCTAGTGGAGACAAGGTGTGGAATCATTTTGCATACAGCTGTCGCATATACAGAAAGAAAAGAGTAAGGCTGTGTCGCTGGAAAGCAGGAGATCAAGAAGGAAAATCAATCATTGCACTAAAGGATTAAAATTCGTCTCTTTGTAGATGTCTCATAATGCAGTAAATTCATTATGCAGCCACTTCCCAGTACTAGCTCCACAGGAAGCTAGAAAAACATCAACTTACCATGTACTCAAAGACAAATGTTAGTGTCTCCTTGGACTGGATAATGTCATGAAGCAGTACGACATTGGCATGTTTTAAATGCTTGAGAAGAGAAGCTGGGAAAACACAAAAGGAAGATCAATTTAACCACTGCTGCTGGAAATGGAAGGAGAAGGTGCACACAGCAACGCAGTGAGAATAAAAAACTGGGAGAAATAGTCCAGAATTGGCAGCTCTGTAAGAAGCAGCAACTACTGCATCTGGAGGAGGATGGAACAGCTCCTTAGAGAAGCATCAGTGCTCCAGGCTTGGCAGGAATCCGTCCTTCCCTCAGAGGTGGATCCTGCTCTGTCAGAAATAGCAGCTCACAGTTAGTCACAGCTGTCAGCTTCTCAGCTGAGGAGAAGGAATTTCTTCAAGGCAAATGCCAAGAGGATGGCTCTGGGAGCTCCCAGAGCCAGAATGCAGTAGCCTCCAGCCTGTCATTGAGCTTCTCATCCTTTTTCCATCTGCCTCCTGGCACATGCCCTCAGCTGGGCCCTTGGGAGACTTCTGGGGAAAGCTGAGTTTCTATCAGTTTCCAGCTTCACAATATCAGGGTGTAAAAATCTGGCAAAAGAAATGACTGTAGATGCTAAGCTGAATTCTGAATTTAGCACTGTGCTTTTAGCTTGGAGAAAGCATATTGGTTACTTTCTCCCGTTTAAAACTCAAAGAGCACAGATGATGAAGTTACTGAGTGAACAGTAACTTGTTTGTATTTATACAACTTCTGCACACTTCTTTTCTTTCATGTTAACCATCTAAAAGCATCACTGCAACTATGTGGCCATGGTCCTTACCTGCTGACATGCCTTTGCCAAGCCTCAGCACATCTAGGGTGTGGTGATGGAAGGGGCAGCACATGGAAGAGTCTCCGCCTTCATGTAGGCCACAAAGCACTGACTGATGCCAAGAAGAAAGCTACAGCCTTCTGAACCTTTCAGCCTTGTGTTAGGTTTCTCATGACAGCACAGGCTCCAGCTGACACTCTTATGAAGGCAGCTTCTCAGCAGTCTCAAACATAGTCTTTATGGGGGGAGAGCATTTACAGCTTCATTATTTACTACCTTAGGTTTGAGACAATTGTTGCCATAGCTCTGCACAGAGGAGACATGTGGGGAAGGGGTGGAACTGGCATCATTCTGCCTTTAGATCCCTGGCACTGCTGAAGAATCCAACCCGGCTGTTACACCAAAACTGTGCACAGACAGAAGCCCCAAAGCTCAGCAAAAACAGGAGTCCCTGACTGCACATTTCAGCTTCTGACGTAGTAGAATAGCCAAATAGCCTCAGAGCTGCTCCAGACTCACGTTTCCCTGCTGATTAAAACCAAATTAGTTTACAGTCAGACCATTCAGTGCTACAAATTTCATTCAGATAAGGCATGGGCATCCAATCTCATTTCTGCTGAATTAGCAAAGCACACAATACAGAGCTTGGGCTGGCTGTGGGAGGCCAAATGTGGTTTGGTCCTGCATAAAAGCTGCTTTTTGTTTTTCAAACAATCTGCAGAAGATATTTAAAGAGTTTCATGCTGGCAAAGCAAATTTATACTGGATTAGCACTTTGCCTTCTGTGACCATAACAATTTCACCTGGTTCTAAAAGCCCTACAGCCAGATATACTGTATTCCACAGCTGTGGCCTAAGCATATGTCAGTACTGAGACTGCTGAGCAGCAAGGGATGCCTGATTCAGCATAACAGCTGGAAACAGGATAGATTGCAAATTAGTTCTTGCACTGAGCTTGGTGCTGCTGCAGCTAAACTGCCTCTAGTACTGATGCTAGTCCATTTAGCTACCACCAGTATGTTTCCAGTGCACAGCAGTATGAACATTAAACACACTCTGCATTGCATCTAATTGCTTATGAACCCATAAAGATACTCTGTCTAGATCCCATCTGCCGCAGAAAAGGGCTGCTAACCTGGCTCTGCAATACCTCAAAACCCCCATCTGACCAGAGCTGTTGCTCAGAGGAGCAGCCCAGACAGTTCACAGTAAAATGAATCAGGCCTCTGGGAACTGCTCCTCACTTGGTTGCTTCCACAACCCCCTGCTGGGGTGTCAGGTGCTACAGCCAGAACTGAGCTTTAAAGGCATTTTGTCTCTGTGGGGCTTCCTGGGGTGAAGCTGCTTTTTGTCAGAGGAGTACCATTCCTCCAGGGTAGCAGAGAATGCACCACATTAATAAATCTTGTGCTTTGTTTGCCCTACTGACTTACATTGTAAATTTGAGGTGTCAGATGCTGCAAAGCTCAGCAGTACACAAAAGATCTACTTAAAGTAGACCTTTCATAGGATCACCCTTGTTTTCTCCCATAATGAATGAAGTTAAGGCGCTCAGCCTGTCCAGTTGAGCATGTTAAAGGGGTGCTGATCTTTAGAGTATCATTAGTTCTATGTAGATAAAGCTTTTAAGGCTTATTTTACTGGTGGACTGTGTAAATGCAGAGCAAAAGCACCACAGCAAATGAGTGTATAGGAAACTGTAACACAAGCCATTCTGTAAATAGGTGTATTTAGGTATCTCTCTGCTTTCCCAGAATTGGACTAAGGACTTTGTAAACTTTCTTATCTTAATTATACTGTTATAAACCTGGAGTGTGTCCACTGACCTTTCTCGTTATTCTGAGCTGACTTGTATGAGAGTCCTTCTGTACTAGGGCTCCTCTGTGAAAGCTGGCACATCTGGCCCTGGACTCTCTATCCCATCCCTAGTTTTGAATTGCAGTAAGATGTAAAAACCAAAATACATGTGACATCTTACATTGATGGCTCTCACTAACACCAGACACCAGACACCAGACTGGCACAAAGGTTGCATATTTCTGTGTAAGGAAGAAATCAGATTATGATACTCCTGGGATTGTAGAGCAGACAAAAATAGAAGCCTTAATCAACCAGGCAGTTTATAAACTTGGTCTGTGGGGACATGTAAATCCACTAAGCCAAAATCAAGCACTTAAAAGCATTTCTTTCTCAGAGAAATTGAGAGAGCTGCAGACATTTTGCCAGTGCTCTACGAAGTCGACGGATAGAAATAAGTTCTCATGCAGCTGAAATGATAGCTGTTATTAAACACCAGTTTTATTGAAAGCATTTCTCTTCAGACTAGGATCTGTGATGGTTCAGGTATCAGCCAGATTGTTTGTGGTAAGAGCAAGCAGAGACCCTGGTGCAAAGGGCACTTCCAGTCCACAGCTGCCCAATGCAACAGCGGCAAAACCTGCCGTGCAGTGCTAATGTATGGATGCGGGAGTGAGAAAGCAACTATGGAGCAGGCAGAAGGTGTAAGAAGGCCCCTACACTGCTAGAAAGGTCATGCTCCGGCTGCAGCTGGCACAGTGATGCCCCTTGCTCTTCACCTGTTTTTGAAGCACCTCTTTCTGCCTTACCTTCCCGAATGGCTGTAAAGGGCATTCCCTCCGCTGCCTCCAGCCGGATCACTTTCAGCACCACCAACTGCCCGGTGATCCTGTCAGGTCAGAGTGGTGCTTGGCATGACAACGTTAACAGTCTCCCAGGGTGCTCCACACTTACCCAAGCAAAATTTCTAGGGCTCACTCTCCCACCCAGGCCATGCTCAGAAGGGAATTACAAACCACCTCCATCTTGTCCTCATTAGCAGTGGAACGGGAGCCAGCCTGCCCGGCTAGAGTAGCACCGTTCTGCTGACTGGGTATTGTTAGAGCATGGCTTTGGGCAGTGTTCCCACTCTGCCCTCTCACAGTTTTCCTGCCCCTGCATGATGGCAGCATGGCCTTATCCCAGTTTTTCTGTCATGCAGGAGTCCCTTATTTAAAGGAAAACCCTTGCTCCCCAGCTAGTGCAGCCAGACAATTTTCTAGCATGTTGCTGCAGAGCAAAATGTCTTTGTGGAGCCTCAACAGCTATAGTGGAGGAGTACCCAGAGAAATTCAGATGGAGCTTTGTGAATATCCTGGTTAAAGGCAAAGCTGGACTTTCAATTTGCCTTTATCTACCATAATAGGTATTTTCAGCAGGCACTGGGAAGGCAATAATGGCACCAGTGGTCCTTACTTACCTGCTGATCCCTTTGTACACAGTTGCACAGGATCCTTCACATAGCTTCTCTAGATGTACATAGGATGTGGCAGCTCCAAAGGGCATGCCTGGTCTCTGCTTCACAAAGAAATTGGTATGTGTTTTAGACTGCTGGGTAGAACATGGAGCTACTAGCATGTCATTCAGTAATGAAATCCATAGCTGGAGTAATCATAGGGTGAAATATCTCCTGTCTGGCTCTATGCATGCTGTGCACTCACCCATTTGAAGCTCTCCACAACATCCTGCTCCTGGAAAGGACCAGTGTAACTCCAAGGCCTCCGCATCCTGGACCTCCAACTCCGGAGGGTATGGAGCTGCCGGGGCTGCAGGGAGGGTAGAGGAAGGGGCATGCTGGTTACATCCGACACCCGGTATAGGAAAAGGAGGCAAACTGCACCACCGGCAACCCACCGTGTTACTGATGCGAGTGTTTCCTTTGTCCTTGACTGCACTGGCATTGAGCACCGCACAGCATTTTCATCCCCCTCCCCACCAGATTCCAGTGCAGTTTCTCAGCTCCGTTTTTAAGGGAAACAACTATGTGTATGTTTCTGTCTTGGTACATGGTAGTGCTCACTCTGAGAACAAAGATAAAACTGCCTTAACTGCAGAGGACACTTACACCAGTAACATTCTAAATGCATGTTATTCTCTCTTACCCTTGATTTATTCATCTCTAGATAGCAATCTGTTAGGGCACAGACTAAAAACCAAATGCAGGAGTGAAATTTCAGGAAATTTAAATTTATGCCTTTTTCTCTTCCTTAACACCCTCCTCCCTGCACTGTTATAATTTACACAGTGTGTTAGTTTGGCCCATACAGCATAACAGTGCCATAAACAATACAACTATAAAAATAGTAGTAATGAATGGCAGGCAGGCTGCAAGCTCCTCCTGAGCAGTCACGTTGGCTGGGTGCCTGCGTTATCATTTGTCTCAAATATAACAGGATTTGTAATCTATGGTATGCTGCCTCCTCCAGAACTGTAGGTTGTTGGCTCCCTCCCTGTGTTACAATCCCTCACTGGCATAGAACTTGCTGGAGTGCAATCTTCTCCCTGTTCATCACATCAAAGGCATTTATTGTTACCTACAGCACGGAGTCCTCTTTCAGTAGCTTCCTAAACCTGAAGCTGCAAAGTTTGATGCTGTCTGGTTAGAAGCAAATGTGAATGTTTTGCACTCCCACAACAAGCGGAGGAACCCAGGATTAATGTATCTCAATGCAGAATTATCACTGTGTGATATTAAATACCTCCACTGTAGACGCTGCTTCTGTGTGCTGAAGGCCTGGGATAAGCTGGGAGCCCCTTCTCTCTGGACAGCAGCTGCAGCATCCTGTTCTGACAGCACTTACACACAACAGGGCTCCCATGTTGTCCTGTTTCAGTTAAAATGTATCTCTTTTTCTCTCCTTAGCTCCTCCTCATCCGTCTGTCTGTAATAACAGTTCATATGACTCGCATGAGGTCTCTGCCTCAAGCAATCTTGTGATTTCTCCAGTTTTTCTTTGGAAGTCCAACATTCAGTGATCCAAATTCACCCCTGGAGTAGCTCCATTAATTTCAGCTCGTTTGGCATGTGCCCTCCAAAAACAGCCAACATTTTTTATACCTAAAGATGGGGAAATAAGCAATAAATCCAAACTTTCTGGTCTTTCAAATTCCTTTCACTTAAGCAACTCTCAGTGTTAGGTAATGAAGTGATAGGTTTCGTACAGGAACAGACCTTGACTTCCCTCCGTGTCTGTAGCAGTTACTATTCTAGATTTTAGGCTTTAGCCATTAGGCTTTAAGTTGAACTATCTGAGCAGTGTGGCCGAGTTGTGGTTTCTGCAGGAGCTGTACATTGACCTTGCTTTGGTATTTCTGTTCTTAACCACGATGTGGTGGCAATGTCAGCATAGGGAGCTGTCTGTCCCTGTTGGATCACTTGTCTAAGGGATGCGATGAGTTGTAGCTGGTAGAAAATAGGCTTGTCAAAATAGCCAGAGCAAACTGATTAATCCAGCCTCAAAATAGACTTTGTCAATTATGTGCTAAGCAGGCAATGCATAGTGGATTTACACTGGATGTGGACAGACAGAAGTCCCCTTCTTTCAGTCCCCCACGAGTAGGACTTGCTGTGCAGCTTCCCAGGACTAACACCCAACCCACACTGAGAAAATGCTAGCAAGGGGTGAGGGAGCAAGAATCATACCACGGAATTCTTATGCCAATCCCTTAGGTCCTTCAGTTTTCATTTGTATGCGTGATGTGAATTCTCCCCTTTGCTTCACAGTTTTGGCGTCTAAGAATAACGCTCTTTCCTTGAGCAAAAGGATATATTTTTTAAGCAAAAATCTCCTGGGAAGGCAGGATCAATTTCTGTGTCTCATTGCAACCAAACTACCCAGCGTTTGCATGGCAAGAAGGAGCTAACATACCTGGAAGGCTTGATTTCTTTCACATGGTTTTCACTTCCCAGTTAGCCATAATTTGCTAAATATCTATCATCATGAACTTAACTCTTCTATTTATATTCCATGTATTCTTTGAGCCATCAAAATACAGCAATAATTTCATTGTGCTCTTCAGGCATGATAAAGGCTGTCCAGATACAGTGAACTCAGTAATAAACTGATGCATATCTGTACAAAGTTTCTGATTCTGGAAAAATATTTTTAATTGTTATGACCATATTTATACAAATGGACTTTTAAAATACATCTAAGCCTAAATAATACTTGCATTTTAAAGGAATGGAAAGAGAGAAAAAAAGTACAAAAAGTAGACAATAAAAAATATTAATTACATATTAATTCCTATGAAGATTGTTCATTTTCATTGTTAATTTACATTTTGTGTTAGAGAGTGGAGGGGAATCATGAAGAAAGCATGGTAATAGCTGGTGGTTCTGGATATTGGGAAAAAATCAAAATCAAATGGGAGTATTCATTCCAGTTAGCAGATGAAACAGCCTAATAGAAATGTTTAACAGTTATCCATAGAAAACGTAAAGAGTGTATAAAGGAGAGCCTATACCTGTCATCAGAACCATGGTTTTTAAAGGAAAGCTTTAGGCAACATAAGAAATAGTCTTCCAAGAGGAGACATAACACAAAAGGTACATTTTGCAGAGCTTTATAAAGTAGAAACACATGTATGTAGTATGTATATACACATACGGGTGTATATATAATAGTATGTACATACACATACGGATGTATATATGCAATAGCATGTATATACACATATACGTGTGTATATAATAGAATGTATAAACACATATAGGTGCACGTGTGTGCATAATTTGTACATACACTTGTAGACATCTACTGTACACCTACGTGTACGTGAATGCAACGATTTAGGGAAGACTTGTCCTGTAGGAGGGCCCTAGGTCAGCAAACTGTGGTGCTGGCCTGCTCCCATTCGAACCGGTAGCTGAACTCAGAGGGTTTATGGAGCACGGGAGGATATTACTGGGTATTGGTGAGCCTTCCTGTGTAGGTTACAGTTCTGTGTTTTATTTGTGCCTCAAGTATTTCGGCATACATGTTCAGGTGACATGTCCCCGACTCTTGGGGCCGACGCGGTAACGGTGGCGCTGCACATACAGCGTCACGGCTCTGCTGTTCGCTGCTCCCAACGTGCTGGCAACACCAACACCACCTGCCCGAACCCCCGCGGTCCGGCGGGTCTCGCTCTCTGACTGTTTTGTCCCGGGCCGGGACCCGTCGTCGCGGCGGCCGAATCCCGCCTCCGCCCTG